AGAGTGCTGAGGCGATGGCACGACTTCTTTGAGAATATTTCAACCGTAGAGTATGCGCACCCGGCCATCCCTTTCGTCCCCCAGTATACGGTCCCGTTCAGAAAGTAACCGTAGAAGAGACGAAGGCGGCTCTCAGAAAGATGAAGTCAGGCAAAGCAACAGGACCTGACGACGTGGCAGCCGACTTGTGGAAGGCACGGTGCTGGTACCCTGCACAATGGTTGACGGATTTCTTCAATCAGGTCGTTGCTGAGAAGAAGACGCCCAAGGACTGGCAAGAGAGCACGACGATTCCGATTTGGAAGAAGAAGGGCAGCCCTGCGGACTGCTCGAACTACCGTCCAATTCGCCTGCTGTCACACAGTATGAAGATCTTTGAGCGTATTGTTGACAGTCGTATTCGCGAAATCGTCGAGCTTTCTATCAATCAGCGGCTTTGTGGCAGGCTGTAGCACCATCGACGCCATACATGCCGCGCGTCTTCTGCTGGAGAGACATCGTGAGAAGCAAGTACCACTGCATCTAGCTTTTCTGGACCTAGAAAAGGCATTCGACCGTGTTCCGCGTGAAGTTATATGGTACGCCTTGCGGCAACACGGCGTTCCGGAAGAGCTTATTGAGTGGGTGCGCATCCTGTACTCCAGCCCGAAGAGCCGCTTGCATGCACCATCAGGCACTTCGCAGGACTTTCCATACCCGGCCGGAGTATGGAAAGTCTTGCGAAAGATCAAGGCTCTGCGCTCTCTCCACTCTTTTCGTAATCGTCTTGGATGCAATCTCGCGAGATCTCCAGAAACCGAGTCCTTGGACGCTTCTCTACGCAGATGATGTGGTGCTGGCCAGTGAAGATAAGAAAACTCGAGCAGCAGGTGCAAGCTTGGTCTGATCGCCTGACAAAATTCGGACTGAAGTTGAACATCAAGAAAACCGAGTACTTGACGACCGATACAAATGAGTCCGATTCCATTAGGATCAGTGGCATCGAGCTCACACGCACAAGAGCCTTCAAGTATCTTGGATCAGAAATTGTGTCCGATGGCAGTCTGACCTCAGAGGTGAACTCTCGTGTGAGTGCAGCATGGGCGAAATGGCGCTCGATGACTGGAGTTCTGTGTGACAAGACCATACCGGAGCACCTCAAATCGAAGATTTATAGAACTGTGGTCAGACCAGTAGCGTTGTACGGGGCTGAGTGCTGGCCTGCAACCAAGGAAGTCGAAGCCCGCCTTAGTGTGATGGAGATGAAAATGCTACGTTGGACGGCCGGTGTCACCCGCATGGATCGGATTTGCAACGATGACATACGCAAGAAGTTTGGCGTAGCCTCCATAGTTGATAAAATGCGAGAATCGTCTCCGATGGTGTGGCCACGTGCTTCGCGCGAAGGCGAGAGAAGCCCAGCAACGCTTGGCTTGACACGCTGGCACGCTTAACTTTAAAAGATATTGGGCAACGCGTGAACAGGCACAGCCCGGAATAAATGCGTAGCAAAATCAGAAGAGCGGACCCTGCTACAGAACGGGACAAACGCTAAAGAATAAGAAGAAGAAGAAGTACAGCAATAGTGCTGACATTAACACGCTGACGACAACGCGCGTTTTTACTTTTCGGCCTCGTGGGACACGCGCGCTTTCTCGAACGCGACAGGCGTGGTACGCATAGAATTCACGCCGTCCCACGAGGCGCCTTTTTTGGAGGTTCGATCAGAAAACCTGGTTTAAGGAGCAATTATAAAGTAAACTAACCAGTCACTTTGAAAAACCTAGGCAGGCCAGCTCTCGTTGCACCAGGTGCCAGAAATTCTTCTGTATCCAATGTTTCCGTAAAAAACACAACTCACGCCTTCTATAGGATACAGTGATTCGTCATCATATCCCTTTTATCATTATTTATATTGTATTTGTCTACAGTTAGTAAAAAGTTGAAGAGCAAACCAATCCAGAGTAAAGAAGCAAACCAATTTAAGTTAAAGGCAGTTGGCACGATAAATCCCCCAAGACGACTAGGATCAATACGCCTGGCAGGACGGAATTCCGCGACCCTGAGCAGGCGCTGCATAGCGGCTTCTCCAAGGAAGGTGCCCTTATAAGGGCCCTATCAAGCCACAACATTACGTCCCAAACGCCCGCCACGCCCGCCCGCCCACAAATGGACGACCGTTCCTGACGCTCGTATTCATTCATTTGCTAAGCAAATTATGAAGCGAAGGGATTGGTATGAAGCGGCCGTGATGCTGCATATATGGGTACACATATGCAGCCGTATCTTCGGTAGCGGTTATTGGCAAGATGCCTACTCGTCCGAAATTGATTTTCAAGTCACTGAGAACGAAGGCTTTTTCTTCGCAGGATTTTGACCGTTTCACTCCGTTCTTTCGCCATTTCCCCACTATATAGCGCCCTACTAGCATTTTAGGCCGAAACCATCGTGCCAACTGCCTTCAAGGATCTTTTTCCAAAAACTCTTTGCTAACTGTTGTGTAATAAACTACTATTCCCTGGACCACGCGTACGAGTATACCAAGGACTGAACTATAGAATGAATATGAGAAACTGAACAAAAAACCATGCACTGGTGAAAGATATGGCCTTTTGACCGTGATTCGTATACAATTCGCGCAATCCGCGTGGCATACAAAGCGCGCATTAACACGTTCGCGGCGGCGCCGTTTCGTCAAAAACTCCCGTTTGTCGAGCGACGCGTTCGCGGCGGGCGACACTTAGGCAGTCATCCCGTTCATGGTTGCGCGCTCGCGACGGAACCATAAACGCCTAAAAATTCACGAAAGCCGTTTTTCGCCATTCTTTTTACATTTTTCCCTTCTACAAGTTTTATCTAAGTTTCGGTAAATGAACTAGCTTTCTTGCCCTTTTTGATGTTCACTGGTACCGCACAAAGAAGGATGTAGACTTTGATTCTTGTGAAAGTTCTTAGTTCCTCTTGTAAAACCACTACTGCCTAACCTGGTTTCAACACAAGAAATGTTCCCAGTATTACTTGTATATTATTTATTTTATGATTTGTTCATAATTGCCAGTGAAAAGAAGAAAAAAAACATCAAAAAACGAGGAAGAGGCGCGTGTACTCCCAAGAATGCACGATTCGCCTAAAGGAAAGTTTTTGAGTATTTTTTCAGGTATACACGCCTCTTCTAATGTGTGGATATTATTTCTCTATTGTTTGATTATTATTTATATCCAATTGTTAGTGGAAAAAGAAAAATACAAAAAACCAGCGAATAGGCGCGTGTACTCCCGGGAGTACACGATTCGCCGAAAGCGGAGTTTTTTCGTGTACTCCGGGGAGTGCACGAAAAATGTCGCGACGCGGATACTCTCTTGCGGTGGTTCCTATAGGGAGTGCGCGTCGTGTTGGGTCCTTGGTGTCAAAGGGGGTCTCGCCTGGTATCAACCCGTGCCACGCGGCAACGCTTGCGGTCCTCATCCCCTTGGTCTCAATGCCTTCTGCGCCCACTTGTGGGTCAATGTGGGGTAAGCTTCTGCGCTCCTGTTCAGTCCTACAACTTAGAGTGCGATCAGGCGTTTTCCTTCACATGAATCAACTGCGGGCAACCTAATGGGGCCAATAAGTTAATCGATAAAGAACTGTCAACCAAGTGCGTAAAACTACACATCAATTGCAAAGGAATAATACACCAATCATATGTAAAACGTGCTTGAACACGTGGCAACGAAGAAAAAGAAAGAAAAATCACGAAGGGTTATTTATCATTAATTCTACATCGAAAAACACCTAGCAAAGCTAAAAACCTACGTGCCGGCTGCCTGCGTTATAACGGGGCCATGGAGGCTCTCCAGCTGCCTGCGATCCCAATCCTCTCGAGTCCATTTGCGGTGATCCTCGAATGTAGGACGAGTAGAAAAGTGCGCATGATGGAGTTGCCCTCGGGTAGCAACTGCGCAAGATGTGGGACGATGCAGGGTCGCTGGCAACAACGCAGCTTCGCTAACGTGTGGTGATCGACACCGAGCGATCCTAGTCCGATACGGCGATCCACCCAGAGTCGTTGCCGAACTGAGCACAAGGGGCTGATCGCGGCCCAAAAATGGGGAGTTGCGTCGAGTGGTCAGCGAAGACACACTTGCGCTGTGAGACCCCAGTGGACTGCGAAGACGGTCCTTCAAACATTGGTGTTGTTGACATTTGCGCGGTGCTGGTATCTGCGCATGGACGTAAAGCGCGGACGTGCGAGGAAGTCGTGCTCCAGGAGTCGACACACGGCGCCGCTAACGTTTAAATATCTGTAATCAGCTGCTGTGCGTCAAATTTGTTAAGGTCCGGCAGCTTGTATCGGTATCACACAGTCCTCACTCGGTGGTGCGGACGGATCGCGGGCCAGCGGCAGTGCGGGCTGCCATTTTGTGCGGCTTTGGTACAAGTCCGTTTCTGCTCACCAGTTTTTGAAGCGAACAAGTGCATTACTGTATAATATCCTTCGTATTACTCGTTTTCTACACTTTTTGTCGCATACGCGTTGCAACAAAAAAGGCTGAACGCATTCAAGCACGTGTGCGCACTTCCTTTCAGGCGTGACACGCCCACCCGGTCCGCAATGATGAGGACTGTACGTGGTAGTATTGCGGTTGCACACGCCATATTTTCCGACGCGTAATCCTCTCCCTACTGCTTATACTTACTCTACCAGCAGTCTGCCACCTTCCTTCTTCCATACCCCTAGTCCTGGTCACTGGTGGACGCTGGCGATCACTGGTAGGACGCTGCGCGAGTATGAATGGCAGCCTTAGGACGCACTTGAAACCTTATGGTACATGTACAGCAGGCTTCTTATAAATGCTGCGCATTTTATCGCCTTGAACAAAGCCTTGTAACACATAATTCGAATAATTTATTGTAGTCTCCGCAATGGACCGTGTTTCACATGAACCCATTGAATTTGATTCCATAATTTGCATCTAATTTATTTATTTTTAGACATTTGCATGAAAAAAGCACCACAGACAAGTCACACATGAAAGTTGTTAACGTGTACGAGAGGCAAAAACCGTCAGTACAAGAGCTATCAAATGTTCTCGATGACTCCCGTCACTCTCTTCGGTTGCGCGAATTTCCATTTCTCTAAGAGATCCCTGCAAATTACTAATTTTCAAATTGATTCAGTCAACGAAATTTTCGAAACCATCTTCTTCCCAAGATCAAGAGACTTTCAGAATGCCACTTTTGCAATAGGCCGTACACATGCTTCTTCGAAGCCCACAGAGGTTAAACTCACAGAAAAGGGCTATAAAATGGGGAACTGCCCGCGCTTAGCTAGGAATCCAGAAACCAGAGAGAAAGTGCAAAGGAAGCCGGAAATGAAAGGGATATCGGCGAGGAAACATAAGCTTTGATGAAAAAAAGCCTGAAAGGAAATGGATGAAGCAAAGGAAATAAGAGAAGAAAACCATGGAGTGTCTGGAAACACGGAAAACGGAATGTTCAAATTTGATACTTAATCTACTACCTCTCTTGGCTCGTATTCTCCCTCATAGCTTTTCTTGAAGGAGTTCCGTTGTAAGAGCACAAAGAAGAACGGACTCTGTAGTTTTCTAACCCTGTTTATAGAGGCTTTAGTCCGTGGAGACACATCAAAGGCGGATGAAAACCAGAGAGATTCAAGAGACTGATAACTAACCAATTAGGATTTCCCGAAAGCGTTCAAATCTTGCTCATTGCAAAGTCTCTCGTAATGATTATAGAAGTAACTTACATTGTAAACTTGGATAGGATTGTGTGGAAATATGCCTTCTATTGCGTATGCAAGCATTGCAGATTGTATACCAACCCCGCACATTATGACCGTTGACCGATCCGATTTGAAACCGTGCACCTCGAGCCCTTAAACGTCGTCGTTAGGAAGCAGGAATCTATGAAACCATTAATGCGGCCTCTAAAAAAGCTTTCTAATATTAGTATGTCCGAAAAGTTGAGGGTTTTCAATGAACTCATTCAACGCAGCAGTTGAAGAATGAAACCTTTTTTGTTCTGTGCCAAAGGAACCTTCGGCGAGAACCGCTGGAAATTCAATTGACGAAGCGCAAGGGGGAATGGGTACATGGAAAAAGAACCTTATTTCGTTGAGAAAACAGACATAAGTGTCTACTATGTCCTTGTCTACATGAAATCCGATGCTCCAATCGAAAGGGTAGTGCAAATCAAGAAACGTCGCGAATATTGCCGCGTGCGACGAAGCGGCAATTAACGATTCTCTTGCCCGTCTCCCAAGGCCGGGTACGTGACAAGACCAGCGTAATATGCCGCGCTGGCGGGCGTGGCGAGCGACGACGCACCAACGGACGAGTTGTTTTGCCTGGCAGCATGAATTTGCGCGTTAAAAGGACATGAAAAATTGATACCGCTTGTGATGAGTCATGGACTTGCTTAAACTCATGTGAATTATGCTGCTCCCATCAACAAACTGTCTTACAGTGGAAATTTACTGCACAATGCACGACGACACGACAAACTACGGTTGTCCTGCCTGTCTCCCAGCCGGTTTAAGCGAAAGATCTAAAACTTGACGTCAAGTGTTTATTGGCTTTCGTGGTGTTAGTAGAACAGCAACTGGGTCCCCTTAATTTGAAACCTTCGCACTCCTTTTGGGGTACTGGGCTTGAATGTTTGTCCTGAGCGTTACAGAAGTATCAGGGAGTTGAAGAAAGCTTTCCGGAAAGTTTGCAGCAAGCTTAATTACGCCTACTTACACAACACGAGCATCGCGTTCCCCGGGAATTTTCGCTTCTTTCTAGATTCAAACGGAGACCACTTCGTGAAGTAACACTGTTTTCAGGTTACTACAATTGAGTAAAAATATTTCTTGCTATCATCTTGTTACCACATTTTCGTCCACATTGTAGGCCTTAACTTAATAAACTCACAGCTGCGGATTTCGTCGTTGTCTCGCATTAGGCCCTCCTCGACCAACTCCGCTGCTGGGAAATTCTTGAAACCAGGAATATGGGTACCTCTCACTCCTAGGTAATTTGCGTTTGCGTTTATTCAGAAAAGTCCTTGAAGTTCACCACCATCGGCATGACACTTCATCAACTAACCTGGTGGTGGAGTGGAGGGAACAGTGCCTTCAAAATTACCGCGACCTCGAGCATCGAGCAGGTTTATCTGCAAAGAACTCTTCTCATTCCCAACGATTGATTTCATAGGCAGTTACTGGTATGACCCGCCACCTCACATCATCCGTCCACTCGATGTATTTCCTATCCCCATGTTGTTCTTCCAGTTGTTCGAATTTGATGTTGCACTTGGCCACGTTATCGGTCGCCTTCCACGTTCCACGCTGAATACACAAAACCATGACGCTCCTTGATACATGCTTTCAAAGGATTTTTTTCTTAGAAATGTGAAAGGGTGGGGGTATATTCACGCGGTATTTTCCATGCTTATAAGGAGTTAAATGTCAAGTAACGTTCCTATGGGTTGAGCGCTCGACGCACTCAACCAGGAATATAAAATCGTGGAGTTACTTCTCGAAGGCTTTTCAAAGCAAAGTTAAACGGTCAAAAACCTCATCAAAAGCCTTTGTTCTATGCGGCCCAGAAAGCAATTTCCGACGAGTTTTCCGTTGGTATCGTGCCAATAAGCGCTACGGTAGATACGGGTGCATGCATATACTAAAGGAGCCTACTAAAGGGGCCAAGGAAACATAGGCGCTCGAGCGTCTTCCAGCGTCTACCAGCGTCCACCAGCGACCGGGAGTAGAGAGTATGGGGAAGTAGGAGGGTAGCAAATGGATTAGGCGTCGTGAAATTGCGGCGTAATGCAACCGCACAGCAATTTCACGCACAACTGCTAAAGCACAGAATTATGCAATTCAATGTACGGTGTAGTGTAGTTGTACGGTGCGGTTGCACACGCGCAATTTCACGACGCCTAATCCAGCTGTTTGCTACCCTCCTACTTCCCCATACTCTCTACTCCAGTCGCTGGTGAACACTGGTGGACGCTAGTAGATGCTAGCAGATGCTGATCGATACCTATGCTTCTCTAAAAGCTGGCAGAAGTTGGTGGACGCTGTAGCAAAGTATGAACGCAGCCTTACTATTCAACCCATTACCTACCATCATACACTTTTGAGATGTGACTGTGAACTCACTTGCAGTTTAACGTCATCTTTGCTGACTGGATGACCCTTTTTTACCCATTCGTCGAACCCGCCATCAACAAGAGATACCTTTTCGTGACCATATGACTAAAAGAGAGTGAGTCAGGACAAAATGCTCTTGTCGGTAAACCTTGTGCAGAAATGAGAAGATACCTTCAACAACCAGGCAATTTTAGCAGCATGAAGCATTCCTCCGCACATCTCTCGAGCATAAAGGATCAAGTGCTCGTCTGCATCGATTCCAAGCATCTTAAAAGAAAACAAGACATAGAAGCTTCTTACGAGAAAGCCTTCCTACAGTTATTCCACTCTGTTTTAACACGTTTCATTTTACAAAGTGACATCTACCTGCATGTACTCCTGAAATACATCAGGAGGGTAAAGCGCATATCGTTCATATTCTGATGGATAAAACGCTACATCCATACATATGTGAGGTGCCTTTGGAATGTGACCGGAGAGATATAGTTGCCTTGACCTGAAAATATCTTATAGTTATGATTCTGGTAAAATCTACAAGTACGCGACAGCTGACTAGTTAACCAGTCCCATTTTGGTTCACTTTCAAGCATTTCACTAGAATTCAAAATCGTAGTGATACCTAACTTAACGGCCTTTCTAAAGAATTGCGAGATACAGTCGATGCTCCTAATCATTACAGTCGTGTACAGCTGGGAGGGTGGCGCTCATCCTTCGCGATGACGCGTGTCGACGCACTTACGATGAAACAGCGCTCTGATCATATAGACGCGGACGCAGCCGCAGACGGGAATGATCGGCACTGGCCTTTAGGTGGGCGTCAATCAATTCCAGTCAGCGGTTGCGCTTGCGTCGACAGCCTTGGAGCGCTGTCGCAATTGTAGCACATTAGAGCGCGTCGAGGCGCGTCGTCGCGATGTCCGAACGCTTCGAAAGAATGCTGACTGGTCTAGCTCAGCCTGAGCGGTGCCACTTCCACAATTTCGGAACTAGGTAATATAGATGGTTCCCTGAGCTTCATTGTATTGAGACTTGTTCTTGTGTATGGGAGTGAGAAGCTCTTCTTTCTTCCAAAATTTTATTGACTACGTTTCGGGCCTAAGCCCTTCTTCAGGTCACTGAATTACACAAACAGAAAGATCTTACACACGCACAATAATACGGCAGCAACAGTCATCATAGAAAGAGCAGCAACCTACAGCGAGTTGTCCGGGAGGGGGAGGTGGGGGTTGCCTAGCCTTCTTGTGCGGATATAGGCAAAGAATGGGAAGTGGTAGGTTGTATATATACAGATGTAGAACGGAGGGTGATCTAGGGAATGTCACGTTTGTCTTTCCAGTGCACGTCCTACACTGATATCAGAAAATTCGCCACTCTCATCTCCTCCTTATTGTTGATCGGTGGACCGAGCTGCTTAATTCCTAACGCTTCTTACGCTTCTCTTATTCTTCTCTCAACGGGATCAACCACATTCTGTGAAATGGAGACTCGTTCGGGCGATCTATCCTGAGCATGCCGTCGCGATAGTACATTACATATTTTTCTTCACACCTTGTGTTCTGCACATCTGGCAGCTTGCTCTTTCACAACGACTTTCATAAGGTCCCGATGATGTTAAAAGGCGTCGCAAACTGAGAGGTGGCCGAAAGATATATTGTCCAAAATATAGTACTCCCGGTGATAAGGCCGTTCTTTCAAGGCTATCCATAAATATTATTGCTAGTAGTGGAGCCAGTCTGCTACCCATGGCAAGTCCTCTTGTCTGCTTGTAAAAGATGTTTCTGAAGCGGAATATGTTCACATTCACCACGTTTCGTAGGAGTCTTTAATGTCCTCAACATCAAGACCGAAGAGTTGGAGCTGGTGGCGGTGATGATGCAAAACATGCATACATGTTTCCACAGCTCTTCGGGTATCAACACTGGTGTAAAGTGCAAGCCTTAATACTCTAATCAAGTTGTGTCATCAAAGTTGCACTGTCCTAATTGTTCAAGGAACTGGTTCACATTTTTGAGGTGGTGGGGAACATAGGAAAGCAGAGGAGAGAGGATACACTGGGACAATACAACTAGGACGAGGAGCAAACAGTACCACATGTCTATCAAAACCAGGGCTATAGTA